AAATAGCAAGTTTCACAATATAAAAAAGATCGACGATCGATTTTGTCACATGTGATAAAACGAATGTCCACTATGCTCAATAGGAGTATAGTCATAATACCTCGCGTAACAATAATTCAACTATTTTAAATAAAATGTTAGAAATTTGTATTATTTTAAGTGAATGTATAAATGAAATAAACTAACAATTCTAATTATATTATTCAAAAATCTTTATTTCTGCTCATTACAGATATAAATATGAAGATCTATTCAAACCGAAAAGGTTCGGTTCGGTTCGAAGAGTAAACCGAAACCAAACCGATCCGTACCGAAATTTTTCGGTTTGAACCGAACCGTTCGGAGCTTTAGAATTAGCACAAGAATTTATTAAAATTGGGTCAATTCATGGAAATATATCCATTGAAGAATTGCTTCCACATCCAACCACTGTATCCAGAAACACACTAAATGAAGCAGAGTTAGATAAATCAGCTTCGGCAAAAAGTTTATTGGAATTTTTTAGAATTTCTGGTGGAGCTTTTACCACAGATTGTTGGACAGATAATTAATTATTAGTTATATTTCTTTGACAGTGCACTTCATTGACAATTAGAATTTAAAAGAATATGTACTTGCTGCATCTAAATTTCCAGAAACTAGTCATACAGCAGATATTATACGAAGAACTGTTTTTTTCATTATTAAGAGGGTATAATCTTCAACCTGAAATTAATATAAAAAGATATGCTTTTATAACAGATTTTGGTACAACTTTGTGGAAGCTTTTCGAAATCATAGGCATTTACCATGTATAGCTCACAGGCATGTATTACTTATTTATTTAAATTATAAATTAAAAAAAAATAGACAATTTATTGTGATGATATTAGATATATTTATTTGTTTAGTTCTAATAAAATTGTTCTATTGATATGGGTCATAATTTAATATTTAAGTTAAATTATTTATTAATAATTGTTATATTCATTTATATTTATACACATATGTATACATATAGAATTAACACTGTTTTAGTCGCCTCTTTCAATTACTTCTGTAATTGTTACAATAAATAAATGTAAATTGTTAGTTAAATATTTCAAAAGAGCACTTTATTATCACAACTCAACAACCCATTAAAACACATGTTAGAACAGTAAGTTAGAAATGCTTGAATCTGTCTTCAGTCAATTTGAAGATATTTATAATCTTCTTTTGGATCAAAATGAGTTGAAGAAATTGATGTACAAATATTAAGTGATTTAGTAAATTTTTTAAAAAAATTTCAAGTGGCAAGTCTCTGTTTAGAAGGTTCAAAAACAACCAACATTACATCAAGTAATACCTTGGTACAAAACCTTATTAGATCATTGTCAAGTGATGGCCTCTGATAATGATGTTACAAAAAAAAATAAAACTCATAGTTGCTGAAAAATTAATTTAAAAAATTAAATTTCATGAATTATATAAATTAACCATTTTTTTCAATCCTCTTATGAAAAAATTAAAAATATTGGAGTCTGGTGATAACATCTGGGTAAAAAATGAAATTAAAAGACAGTGTGATAATCTAACAATTAATGATGATAGTGTTGATGCTGACAGTAATGATGATGATAATTCTATGCAAGCAATATTATCAACTACAATTTCAACTTCAAATTCAAATGTAGAGTTAGGTGATTTTAGCAAATATTATGATGATAGTGATGATGATGATGGCAAAGATGAAGTTGATTTGTATTTATCAACAAAAATACAAAAAGATGATAACTTTAATATTTTAGAATGATGGAAAGACCATCAACATGTTTATCCAAGACTTTCAAGGCCTGCTGCCTATTATATGTTCTAATGCACCTAGTGAAAGAGAGTTTAGTGCAGCTGGACTTACAGTTAATGAACTTCGCTCAAATTTAAGTCCACAAACAATTGATATATTCTTGTATTAAGAAGCTCATTATAGTAAAAAAAAATTTTCTTGTTATTTTTTAAATAAAATCGTTTTACAACGTTGTTAATAAAAACGGGTTGGGTTTGGGTTTGGTTTGAAATTTTTTGAAATTTTATAATTTTTTGTGAACAAGTTGGGTTTGGGTCGAGATTTTTATAATTTTTTATGTACAAATCAGGTTCGGGTTGCAAATTATAAATTTATACGGATTCGGGTTGGGTAATCATTCAATTATGATGACCTGTATGGCCTCTAATAGCTATGACTTTTATTTACTAATACAGAAAAATACATAATAATTATAACAATTAAAAATTTGTGTAAAGAATGGTCTTTTCCTTGTTTGTATTTCTTTTATCAAGATTTTTCATAATAAACTGAACACAGACTTTTCATCTATACATGAAGTTGAATTAACATGACTTGGTCAATATCCAGCCATTTTGGATAAAACAACTACCATTCAAATTCTCTTGATTTGATGAGTCTAATGGAATTTAATTTATAAAATTCAATTCACTGATTATTGCATCAGGAAAACATGATGGGGTTATTATACATATAATTATACATATATGATTTACAAATGTGTGGGAATGATTTACATGTGAATATTATATGGGAATTATATGAGAACCCCACACATTTGTAAATCATATACATATAATTATAAGTATAACCCCAAACATGTTTTCCTGATGTTATTATTAATACATTTTGGTTTACTGTATGTATATCTTACAATAACTTGTCATTTATTGATGCTATGGATATTAAACCACCATTGTTTGAATTGTCTTTATGAGACTATTTATTCTAATGAGCTCTGTTTCATTAAATTCGGATCACTGGTTCTCAAGATAATTGATTTGTGATAAATCATGTGATATGACATAATTTCAACCATTTTGACTTCATGCATAATTGAGGCTGGAACTAGAAGAAGATAATTAATTACATTTGCCTCCATAATTTACAGGGTATTGAAATTAATTCAAGGCTCAAATATTTAAAGATCGATTCATTGCATGCAAAGGCTAATTGAAATCTGGTGTTCTTATGATGTTATGATTAAGGTTTCTGGCCGAAACTGCTTCTATTAGTAGCCGAAATTGCCCAAATACTTTGGGCAAAAATTATTTTTTTATAAGCCCAAACTACTTTTTGTTACTAGCCGAAATTGGGCGAAATTATTTTAAAGTTGTTTAAGTTAAAACAAGTTGATTCATATAGTTTTTTAATGTTCATGCTTATAAAAAATGTTGAGAAGCCCAAATTGCCCAAACTAGTTTAGGCTTTGAGAAAACAGTTTAGACCAGAAACCTTAGTTATGATGTGATTAAACTTCAGGAGGGGTATCAGGGGCTCTAAAATTTATTGAAATTGTATCATTGGCAAAGAGATTGTTAATACCTCTCACCTTTCCAAAACTCATATGCAAAACTGCCAAAATGCCAAAAATTTAGCTGACTTTTCCCATAGTTTTGGTGTAACTACTAGTAAGGTTTTAATATAGTTTTGCCATAGTTAACCTAGAGTTTTGAATTGATTATTTTAGTCAACTAAAATAGTTGACTATTAGTATAATTGACTAAAATATTCAAATAAACAATCAACTAAATAATCAACTATTTTAATTGATTGTTTAGCCAAGAGTTTCTATTCATAATACAAATTCTTATTCATTTATTCAAATAGAAACCTTAGCTGAAACTATAGTTTCAGCATTTTCAGCAGTTTGGCAGCATGTAGGAGATTTTACCTTTTGGCATCAGGCTAAACAAATTTCAGATCATACATATTATTTTTCATATCTGTTTATTAAGGAAGATATACAATTAGATGTAAAATGATTTGATAAAGATATCTATTATTTGATTATTTTCATAATAAAATTACTTTTCATTCAAGAGAAACTCCACCCCCCATATATCACACATATAATGGCCATACTTATGAATCAATTGTGTTCCCTCCGACTCTAAGGTTGCAATCTCTATTATAATGTTTGAGCTTTTAGTTGAGAAAATAAAAATATAAATAGTCATTGAAATCAAAATATTAATAAATCCTATATAGTACTACTAATTGGAATTGAAATTGAAAATCAAATTCATAATAAATAACCTTTTTGCATGTAATCTCAAAACTTATAAAAAATTATAAATGACACTTGGTTTTTTTAAAATCATCAAAAAGTTCTTTATAATTTACGTGATTTTGTATTTATTTATCTGTTATATAAATAATAATTATTCAATTGAAAACATTTTTCTCATAGGCTGCACGATGGAATTATTAAGACATAAACTTTTATACTTGTTATTGATGTTGCCAAATTTAGATATGAATTCGCTGCCAAATTCCTCATGAACATAGTAATAATAAAGTTAAAATTTTAAAATTGGCACAAAATTTAGAAGGTCTCTAGATCACGCGAACTATATTAAGTGTATTTAGTGTAACTAACTTTAAGAAGCATCAAAAAAAATTATGATTAATTAAAAAATCTATAAAAAGTTTTTTGAATTTGAAAAATTATATAATTAATTAAAAAGTCTATAAATATTATAAAATTTTTTGATGTATATATATGAATTTGTGCATTTATTTATATATGATTTATGCCTTCTAATGATTCTAAAAAAATAATAATACAAAGAAAATAAAATTTTTGATTTTTTAATTTATAAATTTTCTTGTGTAAACTCTTCGGTAATAGTCTCTTCAGTAGTTGAAGGTGTTCCTCTATTTGGTCTTACCACAGTACTACTAAGTCTTTGTGCTGATCTTAAACTAAAAGCTCTTTTTTCAATTTTTCTTGGTTCTTTTATTCCGGCTTCTTCACTAGGAGAAATTGAAAATATCGGGGCAGCGTTATCATTGTCGTAATCGTTATCAGTTACTCTCACTATTTCATCATTATTTTCATTTGATGAGGAGAACGACGAGGTGTCAGTAGAAGAAGGTAGAATCGGAGGATTCATTGAGGGAGGAGAATCAGGGCGTGAAGGCGCATAGAGACTGGAAGATGCAGACAGTCTATTTGATTGTGGATATCCATCATCATCATCATATTTTGAGGGAGGTGTTGGAGGTTGAGGTTTTTCTGAATAATAATCGCTATTGTTGTTACTATAATTTAATTGACTACTATAACCATATAAATCATTTATTTCACTTGTTGCCCTCGTATTGTCATCATCATCGTCATGTTCATTAACAAGATTTTTATTGCTAGGCGAAGAAGATAATGATGATGATGAAGTAGGGTTGACTATTGGTGTTGGATCTGTGGTATCCTTATCGACGTAATAAGGATTATCAAGATAAGGTATAACACTAAATCTATTCGAGTTGGTTTTTGAACTGTTTCTAGAAGAACTGTTGTTGTAGTAAGATTCATTATGCTCATTATTGGTTATTGTACTACCCTTATCAGAACCTGCATTTGACTTGCTGACAAAGTGTGACATTGTAGGAGGTAGTTGTCCCGCTGGATCTTGATTATTTATTGTTGTTGGCAACTGATTATAAGGAATAGTACCTGAAATAGGTGGCACTGAAGGTTGGTTCTGTTCATAAGGTTTTGTGAAAAACGAACCCTTTTTCTTATATTTCTTACGTATGCAAATTACCAAGATTATAATCAAAAAAATTGCAGCCAACGAGCCTATTATTGAACCTACAATTACACCTATTTGATTTGACGACGACGACGACGACGACGACGGCGATGACGGCGATGACGGCGATGATGAAGGGTCATTAGAAGATGCATTAATTGGTTTTGTATTGGTAATTTCAAGATTATTAGGTACATAAGTTGGCATCCAAGTATAATTGGTGGAATCAAGTATGTAAATATCTTGTGTTGTATCGAAACCCTAAACATTTTATTAATATTTATTAATTTTAAAAATATATTGTTTTTTCATATTAAATATATAAAATAACTCTTACCGAAATAAAACCTATGAGTTTAGTATTAATAAAGAATGAATTAAAAATTTATTAATTTTTTTTGAATTTTTTGTAAAAAAAAAAAAAAAAAATATTAAAATTAAATTTTGCCTACTAATATTACCAAATGCTATTATAACATTTGTTCCAACCATTGTCATTGTATGAGCATACATTGGTGGGGGAGGAGTTCCTTGAGTAGCGGGAGCTGTCCATTGAAGTGTAGTTGTATCAAGAACTATTAAATCAGAATAATTTATAGAATAATCTTTATTGCATCCACCATAAATGATAATTTTATTATCGTTTGCTATGAATAAATTAAATATTGTTAATATACGGACATGGATATGGATATGGATATGGATATTGATATGGATATAAATATAATAAATTCATAATTAAACTTACTTCCAACAGCCCGATGAACTCTTCTATCAATTGGAATCGCCCCTGTAGCATTCTGACCCAAAATGTATTTATATCAAAGAAATAATTTATTAGATAGCGATAGTAAATAAAATTAATTTAAAATCATTTAAAATAATTTTATTACTAGAAATTCAAAATATTTATTAACCTGATTCGACCATTGATTTGTCATAGTATCAAATATGTTGATTGATCCCATTGGCATGAAAGCGTCATTTTTATCAACACCACCGATAATGTAAATTTTATTATCACTTAATAAAGTTGAACTATGATGATAAACCCCCAATGGAAAGACCCCATTTGAGGGAGAAATTGTGTTGAATGTAATTGATTTAGAATCTAACACGTGCATATCGTTGAATGCATCAATAACTATATCAGTTGCATTATCATTAGTAATAATTTGACTAGTTCCACCAAATATAAAGACCATTGAATCGTTATATCTCGTAATCGAAGTATGCTCGATTGAGCCTTTAACATTTACCGTTGTCGGAGAATTCGTTGCTTTCGTACTGCTTGTTGTGTTAAATATATATAATGTATTTGGTGGTATGGTGTATTTAGATGTACCTCCAAATATTATTAATAATTCGTTACTTTCGCCTCCAATTGACATGCTATGAAATGCGAGCGGTGGGGCAATTCCTGTTATTGATTTCCATTTTGGACTTGCCGGATTAAATTCTACTGAAATATCCAAATATAATATTTCGTCTGTATCATAATCAGGATTGAGTGAGTCATAATTTTCACCTGGTATAGCGGTTCTACCTCCGTAAATATATAAACTTTTTAAAAAAAATGAATTTTTAATTTTAATTTTTTGTATTTTCATAAAAAAAAAAATTATTAATTCATTATGAGGAATTACTTACTAATTATCCACCAGCGAAGCTGTATGAGCCCTATAATGATAATAAATTACAAAAGATTATTAATGATAAATAGTTAATGCGTGTTATTTCCTGAATATAAAATAAAAAAAAATACCATCTTTTTTGATTTGGTAAAGATTCCACCAATAATAAATTATTTAATAAAATTATTAACCAAATTATTAAACATGTTGTCGATAATTTAAAAATCATATTAACTTCACTATGTTTATTTTTAATTAAAATTAGTGATTAAGAAAGAAAAAATTTATAAAAAGGAATGTGAATATAAATTCATTTATATTTTTTGTTGATTTTAACTTTTTAAAAAAAAGAAATAATCATGATCACATGTTGAAAATTTAATTGTATAGTTCTTACAAAAAAAAAAAACCATTTGGACATTGTGTAAAAATATAAATTCGTATAACATTTCAGTATGGCGTAGTAATTAAGCATAGGTTTCATTAATTTAATATTAATATACTTTTTGTTCCACTACATAAAACTCTATTTTTAAATGTGCAACTTTTAAAACTGCCGATTTCCAATAAATTTGATTGACTCAATGAAATGGTCTTTGAAACCATATTCAACATCTACCACACCATATATATATATACATTTCTTTTTTCCAATATGAATTTAAGTAAAAATTCACACAATTAATGCTCCACTCTTTGGTTCTAAATTCAGGTATATTTATGGTCAACTAACCGCGAGTTAAAATACTATTGATGATAATCTTGGAGATTTAATTAGCTGAAACCATTTTCCAAAAAGTTTTGAATAGGATTATGCGAAATTTTCTAAAAATAGTGTGCATGCATGCATCCTTTCTTTAAAAGCGTCATATTTAAAAAACTATGAACTAACAATATCTCAATATGCTCCTCAAGGGGTTTTGCTTTAGCTCATTGTTAACCAAAGATGAGGTGAGGATGAAGTTGTACATTTTCCACAATAGGCTCTGCATCGATTCATTTTGGATTATAGACATTTCTATCAATTAAATGGAACTGCTTTAGCAAGATGGTTTGAAACCGGATGTTGTTGTATCACCACATCATTTACACATCTAAACTCGATAAGCCGGACATTTATTTATATTATAAAGTACTTTAAACAATTGATTGCTGCATCCGACTTATCGAGTTTAGATGTGTAGTATGATCATCCAAATTGAGCAAATAAAATTTACAAGAATTATCCTTACTATTACATGTTCTATATAGGATAAAGGGAAAATTTAAATAGTTGTTAATATATGGTATGGTTACTTTATAGAAGTAACATGCTTATCCTAATCACAAATAACCTCACCTTGTCCCTCCATATCACAGTGTTCTGTCTTTATTTTATCTTTTTTTTCACAAGAAGGTGTTAATCTTGTAAAATAATGCTAATATAACACATATTATGGAATCAGAACTATCTATTGTTGAGTTTGTTGACGTGTTGTCATCAGTTGTAGTTTAAACTTGTTTTAAATAATTTTTTATCAAATATTTCAAAGAGTGTTTATATTAATTTTTAATTGTTAAACGCGACAAAGTGGATTGTGTTACTTAGATATTATCAATATTATCAATTCTTTCCTTCAATATCCTAGTAATTCAATAATCCAGAGCATTCTTGACTCTTTGAAATCCCTCACTACCTACTGTAATTATTCACAAGATATTCTACCCAATAGTTTTACATCAATTATTTATAGTAGTTATGCTCTACTCACGACCGTCATTACTTCCGTTCTAATACTAATTATATTATATAGTTTATTTAAACCAATTAGTAAATCTAGTAATGATTTTCTCCGTTAAATGAGCGAACCCCTTTAAGTTCTAAGAAAATTCGAAAATACACTAGTTTTCGAAATCGAGATCGAAAATTGAAATAACAATAAAACCTTTTTCTTGTAATTTATTCATTGTGGCAAACAATTCTACTCGAAATTTCTATTTACAGTGTGTAACGAAAATAATGGCGGTTGGTAAAAATATTGTTTTTAATGAAAAAGTAGCCAAAATTATATGATGAAAATTATAACAGAGAATCGGAGGATCTTAGATTATAACATATGAAATTTTTGAAGCATGTTATTATGTAGGCTTTAGAGCAATTATTAAAGAAATTTACACATTGAATTGTTTTTTTCAAAATAATCAAATTCCTTTTATTTCCAATTGACAAAATTCTAGAAAATCTGGAAGTATGAAAGTTTATATATATAATCTCCAGAACTTTCATTACACACCAGTATAATTTTTTTGTATGATTATTATGTGTATTTTTGTGTCAGGCTTATTATTCAGAGACAAAAATTTTGCAAAGTTTTAAAAAAAAGATATGAATTAGCTTTACAGAAAATTGGCAATAGCATATCATGTCTATTTTTTTTATTTAACAAGGTAATTTGATAAACTTTCAAACGAATCTAAATTTATTTAATTATGTTATGTAATTGTTGAGATATGCAATTTTTTGTCACCGCCATTTTTTTCGTTACACACTGTACCTAATGCAAAAAGGTCTGGAAGACCATCAAAAATTGCACTATATAAATATAATGATAAAATCTTATTCTATATATGCTTTAAATTTTTTTTTAATGAGTATAGATTGCCAAATATATTGATGAAATTTATGAACAAGATCAATGCTATCTAGCAATAAAATTAGACTTAGATGCAGTTAAAAAACTTCAGGTTTGAATTTTAATTTTTTAATTTGTAATTGTTTAATCAATTATTTAAATGCAAATATATTCAAATACATTTATAGTTGGAAACCAATATAAAAGATATTGCAAAGGCAATTGTTAATGATCGAAAGTTAAAATTGGAAAGTGTAAGTGATTTATAATTGTTTTTTTTTGAATAACACTATAATAATACTCAAAAACTCTTTTTTCACTTTACCATAATACAGTCTAATATTCGAGTTTATTCTAATGATCAAATCAATGTGTATGTACCTGATAAAGAAATAATGAAAGATCCATGCTGCCTATATTATAGATTACAGGTACTTAAACGTGCTTTACCCAAAGTTATTGTTAAAGGTATTCAAACTGTAACAAGAGCTGTTATCAGTGAAGCAAAAGCAGATAGGAAACAATTACTTGTTGAAGGATATGGTTTGCGAGATGTAATGACAACCGAAGGTATTGTAGGTACTGAAACAACCAGTAATAATGTTAACGAAGTTCACAAAGTTTTGGGAATTGAAGCAGCTAGGTAATAATTTTTTCATTTATTTGATTTTGTTGATTAGAAAAATTATAAGATTTTTTTTTCTTAAACTTAGGAATACAATCATTCAAGAAATTCAATATACTATGGGTCGCCATGGTATGAACATTGACCCAAGACATGTTATGTTACTGGGTGATATTATGACATACAAGGTAAGGTGATTGTTATATAGTTATTGATTACATATATGTGTGTTTATATTTTTTTAATCTGTAAATTATAGGGAGAGGTGTTGGGAATTCATAGATTTGGTATATCAGATATGAAGAGTAGTGTGCTGATGTTGGCATCATTTGAAAAAACAACAGATCATTTATTTGATGCAGCTTTGCATGGTAAAACAGATTGTCTTGAGGGTGTTAGTGAATCAATTATCATGGGTATACCAATGCAACTTGGGACAGGATTATTTAAGTTGATAAGAAAATCCCACTTAGGTGATGAAAGGCCACAAAGAAGAAAATTATTATTTGATAATAGTGAACACCACGTAAATTTCTTATATGATTCATCACAAGTTTTATAGCTGATAGTAAAATGTTTAATTTTTAAAAATAAATAGAAAAAAAATTACTAATTTATAAAATTCATTTAATGTAATTAATCGTGCATCATGTATCTAATTAAAACTAAGTTAATAATTAATAAATTAAACTTTAGTACATAGAAATTATTTTGTGTATGACTATAAATGGAAATATAATATAAATTATATACTGTCGTGGTCTAATTCAATTAGATACGGGAGGTAATTGTTTTTTTTTCAATTGCTTATTTATTTTACTATGTAATTTATTTGAAATAACCAATAAAAATAACATCGGAAAAAAAAAATAATATAAATTTTATATATTAGTATTAGTATATATTAACAAACAATAAAAAAAAAAATCTAAAATTTCTACGACTCTTGGTAAAACAATCCAACTAGATAAATATTCTAAATATTTTAAGAGAAGACCTTGCAGAATCGTTCGTTTTATAAATTTTGATTTAAACATAGTTGTTGGGATGCTGGAAAAGGACAGGGGACGGGTCACTGTGCCACACCTGTACCTTGTTAATTGCCAGTCCTTTTTTATACTATTTTGCAGAGCACCCGTACCATTGCCCGTCCTTTTCATGTGTTCCGTTGTGAGTTTCTATAAATAACTTCTTTAAGAACCTCTTTAAAAAATAAAAATTGCCTCGCCTATAACAAGACCGTCTTGGTAGCCTCTATATACATCAATTGCTGATTTGCAGAATATATTGGCAACCTACTTCTCTCAAATCCCAATTTAGTCCTAATTAGAGGCCTGCATTGGGTTGGGCGGGTTGGTCTTAACATCAAATAACTTTGGGTTGGGTTCGGGTTGTAATTATGACCCGAGTTTGACCCGAATTGACATGAATTTAAATGAATTATATATATATATATTAGCCAGTTTTTTCAATCCTCTTATGAAAAAATTGAAAAAATTGGAGTCTGATGATGCTATCTGGGTAAAAAATGAAATTAAAAGACATTATGGTAATCCAACAATTAATGATGATAGTGTTGATGCTGACAGTAATAATGATGATAATTCTATGCAAGCAATATCATCAACTACAATTTCAACTTCAAATTCAAATGTAGAGTTAGGTGATTTTAGCAAATATTATGATGATAGTGATGATGAAGATGATGACAAAGATGATGTTGATTTGTATTTATCAACAAAAATACAAAAAGATGATAACTTTAATATTTTAGAATGATGGAAAGACCATCAACATGTTTATCCAAGACTTTCAAGGCCTGCTGCCTATTATATGTTCTAATGCACCTAGTGAAAGAGAGTTTAGTGCAGCTGGACTTACAGTTAATGAACTTCGCTCAAATTTAAGTCCACAAACAATTGATATATTCTTGTATTAAGAAGCTCATTATAGTAAAAAAAAATTTTCTTGTTATTTTTTAAATAAAATCGTTTTACAACGTTGTTAATAAAAACGGGTTGGGTTTGGGTTTGGTTTGAAATTTTTTGAAATTTTATAATTTTTTGTGAACAAGTTGGGTTTGGGTCGAGATTTTTATAATTTTTTATGTACAAATCAGGTTCGGGTTGCAAATTATAAATTTATACGGATTCGGGTTGGGTAATCATTCAATTATGATGACCTGTATGGCCTCTAATAGCTATGACTTTTATTTACTAATACAGAAAAATACATAATAATTATAACAATTAAAAATTTGTGTAAAGAATGGTCTTTTCCTTGTTTGTATTTCTTTTATCAAGATTTTTCATAATAAACTGAACACAGACTTTTCATCTATACAATAAAATCGTTTTACAACGTTGTTAATAAAAACGGGTTGGGTTTGGGTTTGGTTTGAAATTTTTTGAAATTTTATAATTTTTTGTGAACAAGTTGGGTTTGGGTCGAGATTTTTATAATTTTTTATGTACAAATCAGGTTCGGGTTGCAAATTATAAATTTATACGGATTCGGGTTGGGTAATCATTCAATTATGATGACCTGTATGGCCTCTAATAGCTATGACTTTTATTTACTAATACAGAAAAATACATAATAATTATAACAATTAAAAATTTGTGTAAAGAATGGTCTTTTCCTTGTTTGTATTTCTTTTATCAAGATTTTTCATAATAAACTGAACACAGACTTTTCATCTATACATGAAGTTGAATTAACATGACTTGGTCAATATCCAGCCATTTTGGATAAAACAACTACCATTCAAATTCTCTTGATTTGATGAGTCTAATGGAATTTAATTTATAAAATTCAATTCACTGATTATTGCATCAGGAAAACATGATGGGGTTATTATACATATAATTATACATATATGATTTACAAATGTGTGGGAATGATTTACATGTGAATATTATATGGGAATTATATGAGAACCCCACACATTTGTAAATCATATACATATAATTATAAGTATAACCCCAAACATGTTTTCCTGATGTTATTATTAATACATTTTGGTTTACTGTATGTATATCTTACAATAACTTGTCATTTATTGATGCTATGGATATTAAACCACCATTGTTTGAATTGTCTTTATGAGACTATTTATTCTAATGAGCTCTGTTTCATTAAATTCGGATCACTGGTTCTCAAGATAATTGATTTGTGATAAATCATGTGATATGACATAATTTCAACCATTTTGACTTCATGCATAATTGAGGCTGGAACTAGAAGAAGATAATTAATTACATTTGCCTCCATAATTTACAGGGTATTGAAATTAATTCAAGGCTCAAATATTTAAAGATCGATTCATTGCATGCAAAGGCTAATTGAAATCTGGTGTTCTTATGATGTTATGATTAAGGTTTCTGGCCGAAACTGCTTCTATTAGTAGCCGAAATTGCCCAAATACTTTGGGCAAAAATTATTTTTTTATAAGCCCAAACTACTTTTTGTTATTAGCCGAAATTGGGCGAAATTATTTTAAAGTTGTTTAAGTTAAAACAAGTTGATTCATATAGTTTTTTAATGTTCATGCTTATAAAAAATGTTGAGAAGCCCAAATTGCCCAAACTAGTTTAGGCTTTGAGAAAACAGTTTAGACCAGAAACCTTAGTTATGATGTGATTAAACTTCAGGAGGGGTATCAGGGGCTCTAAAATTTATTGAAATTGTATCATTGGCAAAGAGATTGTTAATACCTCTCACCTTTCCAAAACTCATATGCAAAACTGCCAAAATGCCAAAAATTTAGCTGACTTTTCCCATAGTTTTGGTGTAACTACTAGTAAGGTTTTAATATAGTTTTGCCATAGTTAACCTAGAGTTTTGAATTGATTATTTTAGTCAACTAAAATAGTTGACTATTAGTATAATTGACTAAAATATTCAAATAAACAATCAACTAAATAATCAACTATTTTAATTGATTGTTTAGCCAAGAGTTTCTATTCATAATACAAATTCTTATTCATTTATTCAAATAGAAACCTTAGCTGAAACTATAGTTTCAGCATTTTCAGCAGTTTGGCAGCATGTAGGAGATTTTACCTTTTGGCATCAGGCTAAACAAATTTCAGATCATACATATTATTTTTCATATCTGTTTATTAAGGAAGATATACAATTAGATGTAAAATGATTTGATAAAGATATCTATTATTTGATTATTTTCATAATAAAATTACTTTTCATTCAAGAGAAACTCCACCCCCCATATATCACACATATAATGGCCATACTTATGAATCAATTGTGTTCCCTCCGACTCTAAGGTTGCAATCTCTATTATAATGTTTGAGCTTTTAGTTGAGAAAATAAAAATATAAATAGTCATTGAAATCAAAATATTAATAAATCCTATATAGTACTACTAATTGGAATTGAAATTGAAAATCAAATTCATAATAAATAACCTTTTTGCATGTAATCTCAAAACTTATAAAAAATTATAAATGACACTTGGTTTTTTTAAAATCATCAAAAAGTTCTTTATAATTTACGTGATTTTGTATTTATTTATCTGTTATATAAATAATAATTATTCAATTGAAAACATTTTTCTCATAGGCTGCACGATGGAATTATTAAGACATAAACTTTTATACTTGTTATTGATGTTGCCAAATTTAGATATGAATTCGCTGCCAAATTCCTCATGAACATAGTAATAATAAAGTTAAAATTTTAAAATTGGCACAAAATTTAGAAGGTCTCTAGATCACGCGAACTATATTAAGTGTATTTAGTGTAACTAACTTTAAGAAGCATCAAAAAAAATTATGATTAATTAAAAAATCTATAAAAAGTTTTTTGAATTTGAAAAATTATATAATTAATTAAAAAGTCTATAAATATTATAAAATTTTTTGATGTATATATATGAATTTGTGCATTTATTTATATATGATTTATGCCTTCTAATGATTCTAAAAAAATAATAATACAAAGAAAATAAAATTTTTGATTTTTTAATTTATAAATTTTCTTGTGTAAACTCTTCGGTAATAGTCTCTTCAGTAGTTGAAGGTGTTCCTCTATTTGGTCTTACCACAGTACTACTAAGTCTTTGTGCTGATCTTAAACTAAAAGCTCTTTTTTCAATTTTTCTTGGTTCTTTTATTCCGGCTTCTTCACTAGGAGAAATTGAAAATATCGGGGCAGCGTTATCATTGTCGTAATCGTTATCAGTTACTCTCACTATTTCATCATTATTTTCATTTGATGAGGAGAACGACGAGGTGTCAGTAGAAGAAGGTAGAATCGGAGGATTCATTGAGGGAGGAGAATCAGGGCGTGAAGGCGCATAGAGACTGGAAGATGCAGACAGTCTATTTGATTGTGGATATCCATCATCATCATCATATTTTGAGGGAGGTGTTGGAGGTTGAGGTTTTTCTGAATAATAATCGCTATTGTTGTTACTATAATTTAATTGACTACTATAACCATATAAATCATTTATTTCACTTGTTGCCCTCGTATTGTCATCATCATCGTCATGTTCATTAACAAGATTTTTATTGCTAGGCGAAGAAGATAATGATGATGATGAAGTAGGGTTGACTATTGGTGTTGGATCTGTGGTATCCTTATCGACGTAATAAGGATTATCAAGATAAGGTATAACACTAAATCTATTCGAGTTGGTTTTTGAACTGTTTCTAGAAGAACTGTTGTTGTAGTAAGATTCATTATGCTCATTATTGGTTATTGTACTACCCTTATCAGAACCTGCATTTGACTTGCTGACAAAGTGTGACATTGTAGGAGGTAGTTGTCCCGCTGGATCTTGATTATTTATTGTTGTTGGCAACTGATTATAAGGAATAGTACCTGAAATAGGTGGCACTGAAGGTTGGTTCTGTTCATAAGGTTTTGTGAAAAACGAACCCTTTTTCTTATATTTCTTACGTATGCAAATTACCAAGATTATAATCAAAAAAATTGCAGCCAACGAGCCTATTATTGAACCTACAATTACACCTATTTGATTTGACGACGACGACGACGACGACGACGGCGATGACGGCGATGACGGCGATGATGAAGGGTCATTAGAAGATGCATTAATTGGTTTTGTATTGGTAATTTCAAGATTATTAGGTACATAAGTTGGCATCCAAGTATAATTGGTGGAATCAAGTATGTAAATATCTTGTGTTGTATCGAAACCCTAAACATTTTATTAATATTTATTAATTTTAAAAATATATTGTTTTTTCATATTAAATATATAAAATAACTCTTACCGAAATAAAACCTATGAGTTTAGTATTAATAAAGAATGAATTAAAAATTTATTAATTTTTTTTGAATTTTTTGTAAAAAAAAAAAAAAAAAATATTAAAATTAAATTTTGCCTACTAATATTACCAAATGCTATTATAACATTTGTTCCAACCATTGTCATTGTATGAGCATACATTGGTGGGGGAGGAGTTCCTTGAGTAGCGGGAGCTGTCCATTGAAGTGTAGTTGTATCAAGAACTATTAAATCAGAATAATTTATAGAATAATCTTTATTGCATCCACCATAAATGATAATTTTATTATCGTTTGCTATGAATAAATTAAATATTGTTAATATACGGACATGGATATGGATATGGATATGGATATTGATATGGATATAAATATAATAAATTCATAATTAAACTTACTTCCAACAGCCCGATGAACTCTTCTATCAATTGGAATCGCCCCTGTAGCATTCTGACCCAAAATGTATTTATATCAAAGAAATAATTTATTAGATAGCGATAGTAAATAAAATTAATTTAAAATCATTTAAAATAATTTTATTACTAGAAATTCAAAATATTTATTAACCTGATTCGACCATTGATTTGTCATAGTATCAAATATGTTGATTGATCCCATTGGCATGAAAGCGTCATTTTTATCAACACCACCGATAATGTAAATTTTATTATCACTTAATAAAGTTGAACTATGATGATAAACCCCCAATGGAAAGACCCCATTTGAGGGAGAAATTGTGTTGAATGTAATTGATTTAGAATCTAACACGTGCATATCGTTGAATGCATCAATAACTATATCAGTTGCATTATCATTAGTAATAATTTGACTAGTTCCACCAAATATAAAGACCATTGAATCGTTATATCTCGTAATCGAAGTATGCTCGATTGAGCCTTTAACATTTACCGTTGTCGGAGAATTCGTTGCTTTCGTACTGCTTGTTGTGTTAAATATATATAATGTATTTGGTGGTATGGTGTATTTAGATGTACCTCCAAATATTATTAATAATTCGTTACTTTCGCCTCCAATTGACATGCTATGAAATGCGAGCGGTGGGGCAATTCCTGTTATTGATTTCCATTTTGGACTTGCCGGATTAAATTCTACTGAAATATCCAAATATAATATTTCGTCTGTATCATAATCAGGATTGAGTGAGTCATAATTTTCACCTGGTATAGCGGTTCTACCTCCGTAAATATATAAACTTTTTAAAAAAAATGAATTTTTAATTTTAATTTTTTGTATTTTCATAAAAAAAAAAATTATTAATTCATTATGAGGAATTACTTACTAATTATCCACCAGCGAAGCTGTATGAGCCCTATAATGATAATAAATTACAAAAGATTATTAATGATAAATAGTTAATGCGTGTTATTTCCTGAATATAAAATAAAAAAAAATACCATCTTTTTTGATTTGGTAAAGATTCCACCAATAATAAATTATTTAATAAAATTATTAACCAAATTATTAAACATGTTGTCGATAATTTAAAAATCATATTAACTTCACTATGTTTATTTTTAATTAAAATTAGTGATTAAGAAAGAAAAAATTTATAAAAAGGAATGTGAATATAAATTCATTTATATTTTTTGTTGATTTTAACTTTTTAAAAAAAAGAAATAATCATGATCACATGTTGAAAATTTAATTGTATAGTTCTTACAAAAAAAAAAAACCATTTGGACATTGTGTAAAAATATAAATTCGTATAACATTTCAGTATGGCGTAGTAATTAAGCATAGGTTTCATTAATTTAATATTAATATACTTTTTGTTCCACTACATAAAACTCTATTTTTAAATGTGCAACTTTTAAAACTGCCGATTTCCAATAAATTTGATTGACTCAATGAAATGGTCTTTGAAACCATATTCAACATCTACCACACCATATATATATATACATTTCTTTTTTCCAATATGAATTTAAGTAAAAATTCACACAATTAATGCTCCACTCTTTGGTTCTAAATTCAGGTATATTTATGGTCAACTAACCGCGAGTTAAAATACTATTGATGATAATCTTGGAGATTTAATTAGCTGAAACCATTTTCCAAAAAGTTTTGAATAGGATTATGCGAAATTTTCTAAAAATAGTGTGCATGCATGCATCCTTTCTTTAAAAGCGTCATATTTAAAAAACTATGAACTAACAATATCTCAATATGCTCCTCAAGGGGTTTTGCTTTAGCTCATTGTTAACCAAAGATGAGGTGAGGATGAAGTTGTACATTTTCCACAATAGGCTCTGCATCGATTCATTTTGGATTATAGACATTTCTATCAATTAAATGGAACTGCTTTAGCAAGATGGTTTGAAACCGGATGTTGTTGTATCACCACATCATTTACACATCTAAACTCGATAAGCCGGACATTTATTTATATTATAAAGTACTTTAAACAATTGATTGCTGCATCCGACTTATCGAGTTTAGATGTGTAGTATGATCATCCAAATTGAGCAAATAAAATTTACAAGAATTATCCTTACTATTACATGTTCTATATAGGATAAAGGGAAAATTTAAATAGTTGTTAATATATGGTATGGTTACTTTATAGAAGTAACATGCTTATCCTAATCACAAATAACCTCACCTTGTCCCTCCATATCACAGTGTTCTGTCTTTATTTTATCTTTTTTTTCACAAGAAGGTGTTAATCTTGTAAAATAATGCTAATATAACACATATTATGGAATCAGAACTATCTATTGTTGAGTTTGTTGACGTGTTGTCATCAGTTGTAGTTTAAACTTGTTTTAAATAATTTTTTATCAAATATTTCAAAGAGTGTTTATATTAATTTTTAATTGTTAAACGCGACAAAGTGGATTGTGTTACTTAGATATTATCAATATTATCAATTCTTTCCTTCAATATCCTAGTAATTCAATAATCCAGAGCATTCTTGACTCTTTGAAATCCCTCACTACCTACTGTAATTATTCACAAGATATTCTACCCAATAGTTTTACATCAATTATTTATAGTAGTTATGCTCTACTCACGACCGTCATTACTTCCGTTCTAATACTAATTATATTATATAGTTTATTTAAACCAATTAGTAAATCTAGTAATGATTTTCTCCGTTAAATGAGCGAACCCCTTTAAGTTCTAAGAAAATTCGAAAATACACTAGTTTTCGAAATCGAGATCGAAAATTGAAATAACAATAAAACCTTTTTCTTGTAATTTATTCATTGTGGCAAACAATTCTACTCGAAATTTCTATTTACAGTGTGTAACGAAAATAATGGCGGTTGGTAAAAATATTGTTTTTAATGAAAAAGTAGCCAAAATTATATGATGAAAATTATAACAGAGAATCGGAGGATCTTAGATTATAACATATGAAATTTTTGAAGCATGTTATTATGTAGGCTTTAGAGCAATTATTAAAGAAATTTACACATTAAATTGTTTTTTTCAAAATAATCAAATTCCTTTTATTTCCAATTGACAAAATTCTAGAAAATCTGGAAGTATGAAAGTTTATATATATAATCTCCAGAACTTTCATTACACACCGGTATAATTTTTTGTATGATTATTATGTATATTTTTGTGTCAGGCTTATTATTAAAAATTTATGTGTTAAAATTTCAGAGACAAAAATTTTGCAAAGTTTTAAAAAAAAGATATGAATTAGCTTTACAGAAAATTGGCAATAGCATATCATGTCTATTTTTTTTATTTAACAAGGTAATTTGATAAACTTTCAAACGAATCTAAATTTATTTAATTATGTTATGTAATTGTTGAGATATGCAATTTTTTGTCACCGCCATTTTTTTCGTTACACACTGTACCTAATGCAAAAAGGTCTGGAAGACCATCAAAAATTGCATGGGACCACTTTAATAAAGGCAATGTGGAAATATGACGCAAATCAAATCGTAAATGTTGTAATGATGGTAGCTCGGGTGGAAGTCCTCATTTGACGAAGAATGTGTGCAATTGATACTATTTGGAAATTGCCATCTAGAAAAAGATTCTGTATCAAACGTTTCATTCTGAAAAAAAGAACCAATCTTAATTTATTCGTTCCAGGCTTTCTTTTTTTTTTTTTTTGCGGAGTTTGTTAATCAATTAAAATCCGGATATAAAATTACAAATTAACCATTTATTTTTATTATTATACAATTTTCTTTGGACTAATCCAGCTGGAAGATCAACATATATAATTATGCCTAACAATAAAAGAATATTACTAAATTGAAATTTGATTATAAAAATGCAAAATTTTCAATTTCTTAATTTCGATGTTGAATTTCGAAACTAAACTATTTCGCCATCATACAAGTTATATCTGCGAATTGACAGTTTGTATGTTGTGAACTTTTCCAAAAAATTGTTTAAGAGTTATGTTTCTAAACAGTAAAATATTCGAAAAGAATATTTGTAATGGGATAGTGAGAGTAATGAGAAAATCATCGGTAATGAAATATAGAGGCTACCTTTCCAACTACTGATGCAGATAGTGGGTTCAAGTTATTTTGAAATCAATGGAAAGATAGCTTCTAGGAAAACAATTTCCACCTGAGAATGAATGCCTTTGCGTTCACAATACATAAAACGCAAGGCCTAACCTAGCATATCTGTTTCCATAGATGAAAGTATTTTTGCAGGCGGTCAAATATATGTTGCATTGAGCAGAACTAAATCTTTAGTTAAAGCGCAAATCTTAAAATTAAATGTTCAAAGAAATGTTATAAATAAGCATAATGGGCTTGGAATAGTAATCGAAATGGATCAAGTAATCCACAATAAAAAAATCTTTGCTTTGATCCATTTTCAAATTAAACACTCTCATATATCAAGTAAAAACTATATTAATTACTTGTGCAGCTCTTATTATCCTAATCATTGTTATAAACTCCAGCAAAGTGAATAATGATAAGAAATTAAATTTTATTTTGCAGAATAAATTGTTTTGAAAGTACACCAAATCGTGACGGCTAAGCCGCTTAAAAATTCCCTAGCCGGCTGACATCACTATTACCATAATTATAATATTGCAATTTCAATAAATACAATATGTCCTATTTATTGCATGCACCACACGCAATAATGGAAAAATCAGAATGGTTTCCGAGTTTAAGATAGTAGCATGCAAGTGCAACATTTTAACACCCATTCTCAATTTTTTAGTAATTTTGACGTAATTATTGCATGTTTCTGCATTCAATAACTCATATCTATTATTTCTTCGCTTACTTCCAATTCTGTTAAAAAATTGCAATATTAATATAGAGTATATGCGATTTTTGAAAACCCATTACTATATGTATAAATAAAACAAAATAAACACAAATAATCTTACATGTTAGTCAAAATTAGTTTTATTAGTAAATGATCATTACCAAATTCAAAATACCAAAATAGCTTTTCGTAATTGTATCCAAAATTATTTGAATTCCTTGATTCAATAGCCAAAATTCTGGTAAATTTTTTATGATAATTAATATAGGGAATATGGAAAAGCCAGAAGAATGTAGCCAAAATATTTGACAAATGAAAAAATAATTTTGGCTAACATGTATGCTCCAACCAAGTTAAAAGTGATGCAACAAGATTAGATCAATGAATGAATATTTTCGGACTTACTTCAGTAAAGTGATTCTACAGCTCAATAGAAATGAGAAGTCACATATTGTTAAAGATGAATTTAAAAAAACTTGAAACTTATTTAAAAGAGAAATTAATCATAAAAAATTTGTTCACTTTTCTTAAATTACTCTCATGCCAATTTCACAGCATATGCAGACAGGGGTAGAAAGTACTAACCTATCTTGGATAATCATGATGAATTTAGCAAATATTCCATTTGAATTTGTCTCATATAGGGTTATCCTATTCCACCATGGCCAGAGGAATGTCTGCATTAGGTACAAATTCAATAGAAGTTTGTTTACTTGGTAATTATGGAGGAAATAAAAATTTGAATTTTGTCTATTTTTTATTTTTGTATAAAAATTTGAAAATAATAATTTTTATAAGACCATAATTTTGACCGACCATTTACCCAACGTCCCCAATCAATAACAGGTAAAAAATTTATCCGGCAAGCCAGATTTGAACTAGCGACCTAGAGATGACAGTTAAATTGTACTACAGTCTCCCGCTCTACCAACTGAGCTATTGCCGGCATTATTGACAAATGCACTTTTTATTATAATTTGAATTAATGATTGACAACATCAAATTTTAGAAAACATATATATCGTGTCACCTTTTTTTTTTTTTTGCGCAAATAAAAAACATGATGCCTCCAAAAAATTTTTTCAATAGAATAGCATCTACTGCTACTTCTCAACTAAATTTTCCCATACGGGTATGTTTTGGAATTTGAGTCAATAAGACAATTTGTTAAGGTTTGTAGGGTACGACGGGTTTGAAAAACCAAGATTGGTAGTCATTCCCGCAACCTTACACATAAAAATACTTTTTTTAATATTTTTTTTAAATTTTTTGAATGGGGGAATTTATCAGGGCTCATTCCCGCAAAGATTTCATCTCACACAATCTAAAACTCTATTATCTCGAAGTTTTTTAATTTCTTCAGGTCCTTTAATGAAAGGTTGGCCAGCAGCACTGTTGTTGTTTTTTTTCTTGTAATTAATTATTTGATTGGAAATTTTATATAATTTAACGCTATATTTTCTTTAATTAATTTAGATATTCTCCAAGATTTATATATAAAAGAAATTAAAACTTATAAACCTGTTGCACCAGAGGTATTTTGTTTGATTGATCTTTATTTATTTATAATGAATGATAAATTGAATCGACATTTTTGAAACTTAAAAAAAAAAAACAAGAAAAATGAAGAAGTTGGACAAGTAAAAGAACTTCGTGGAATTACTCCTCTTCAAGTAATTATTTATTTAATAAGATTAATTGTTTTTTGAAATTATTAACTAATTAATTACTAATCTCATTATTTACAAAAGGCACCAAAAATTGATGATGACATTTCAGGAGATTTGTCTGCTTATGATGTTGAAGAAGCACAATCTGAAGTAGTTTCAGCAGATTCTTCTTCGTTAGAAAAACAACTTTTTGGAGATTATGAAGAAGAAATTACTACACCAGTTTCTCATTAAAAATTATAAAAATAAATAATTTTCATTTTCAAAATGTTATTTAAATCTTAATTTGCACCTTCAGTTTTATAATGTTGTTTCAATTCACGAATCTTTAGAAATTTAAAATTAATATTTATTAAAAACAAATATCTGATATAGTACATAAAAATATTCCACTGCGTTATTTATTACCTGGTACACCGTCAAATTCTACCTCTTTAGAATAAGGTGGATGAATACCTCAAACTTTCCGTTTTACTTGCCTTTTGTTTTGAATATTAATATTAATATATATATTTTGTGAAATAACAGAAATAAACAGTTTATTTGCTTAGATTAAGGGAATACAACAATCCTTTACATAAAGAAAAATCTTTTAAACTACTAATTTATTGAAATCGACTTTTATTTTTTTTTTTTAAAAAAAATATATCGGATACCCTTAGTTAGTACTTACAGAATAACTAAAGCGTATTTTAAAATCGGGTAATCTGTTAAAAAAAAATAAAAAAATAAAAAAAAAAATAAGCAGATTTTAATATATATATTATATATATGCGTGTGTGAAAGCACACGGCATATTTATAACAATGGAGAACCTAAATAAATAAATATACATAAAGTTGAGCGTAAGAGTGTGTTAATATAATCTTTTAGTATGTTAATATGAAAAATCTTCAATTACCAGAAAAGTAATAAAGAAAAACACCAGTTGCTCCAACAGCAAATCCAACCGTTGCCGAGAATAAAATTTCAAGTCTCATACGTTTAGATGCATTACCCTCTTTTTCTTTTGATTTATTTCCAAGGTCCATTTCATCTGTTTCATCTTTTCCATCTTTCATATCTTCATATTTGCGTTTGCGATTAGTAGTCAATTTAACAGATTCTTCTAATTCTTGACTCAAGATAGATGGTCCTTCACCATCAATATCGGAATTGTCGCTGTTGTCTTTGTGTTCAGAATCATTAATATTTTCATTAAGTGAAAGATAGATTTGATTTGAGTCTTGTACAATTTGTGAAGCTATATTTTCTTTTATTTTAATATCAGGTGGAGAATATGTGCTTATACTGGCTGTATCTTCGTCTTTAGTTGATGTTTCAGTTATAGGAGAGGCAGGGTGATGATCTGGCGTGATTGCTGGTGTAACAGGTTTTTCTGGACTTCCAACCTCTACTTTATCATTAATTCCAGGTAATGACGATGTATCGTTGATGCTGTCTGTCTGTAAACTATTTGCTTGGTTAACTTCTTGCTCTTTTTGGTCAACAAGAAGATGTTTTGGTAGATGTCCATCTTCGGTGGGAGAAGGTACCATTGCTTTAGTGCGTTAAAAAAATATATATATTATTAATTAAAAATAATAATCAATTACAATATTATAATGATAATTCATTTAATTGTCGATTTTTTTCTTTACTTTGTTCAATCTTATCTCGAACTTCGACGCCAGAAACAATATTTTTTTCAAAGGTCACATCTTTAAATATATATATATATATGTAGAATAAAAAGCTTTAGTTGTTATTATTTTTATATTATAATAATAATAATTTTACAACGATAAAAGATCATTCTTACCTTTCTTTGGTTCATGGTATGTATCATTGGTTGTATCAATATTTAATAATAATGAGGATGCTTTTTTTTAAGGAATCAAAGAAAGAAATGAATAGACGAAAGTATTATTAATATTAATACTAATGTTATATATACTTTTCTTACATTGCTCTATTTGGATATTTTCTTTTTCTAATAAATCATCTTTAAAACAATGACAAATATTATTATATGTAATTAAAAATTTTTAAACACCAATCATTCTAACAACAAGTTGATTGTAAACTTACGATTGTCTATTTTTTCAACATCCTTTCTATAAAAAACTTTATCAACTAAAGACACTGCAGAATTTTCTCCTACATCATCAACATTTTGTTTTTCATTATCGCTAATAATAATTAGAATAATAAACAAATTAACATTTTGTAAAGGAAAAATAATAATGAATAATTTTAATTTTATTACTTTTGATTTGGTTGCTCGTTAATATTTATCGACTTATTTGTTATGGAGGTGGTTTCGATAATTATTTGATTTTTAATGACATCATCATTCTGATTTACAAGATTTTCGACGTCATCAGAAGTCACCGTTTCTGTTATATTGTCAGTAAAATTTTGCTCGTTTGTGATATTATTAGTATTAACAATTCCTTCCGGATAGAAAACACGTGCAGCTAGATGTTGATATATAACTATATTTCGGGGAGGTTGAGTAAAATCAACGTTTTAATTAAATACAAAAATGTTTTAAATTAGAAAAAAAATAAAACTTTACGCTGATTACGCCTGACGTTATGTCCAAATGCAAGTATATCGTTGTGGTTCAATACCTTCCATTCGCTATCCTCCAATCCATCGCCCAATCTTATACTATTTATAAAAGTTCCATGGGTGCTTTTCAAGTCTTTAATCGTAATCTAAATAATACTTGCATTAAAATTAAAAATAGATCTTAAAACTATTCGTGATGACTATAAACATAATAATAATAATACCTTTCCGCCATCCTCTTTAAGTACCGCATGTTCCCTTGACATTACATCACATTCAAAAACACCATTGTCTGATCTTGAGTCTCTTTGATTTCTACTAGCACTGACTCTACCGATTTTAATTTCTTGAGCAGGTGTAAATGTCAATTGTTTTGGCGAAAAATCAACAGAATCAGTTAAGGGAATTAGGTTTATATGAACTGTGTATTGATCTCCAGGCGGACTAGGACTGGATGTTACAAAAGTGTCTACTTCAGGGTGCTCAGGAGCGTGAGTACTTCTGATAGTAGTGGGTGTTGCTGTCCTCAACATTTTTTTTTTTTTATCATATAACAATCAATATATTAATATTGAGCGGTGATGATCAATTTTATTCTTGTCGATCAAAAATTACAGCGCGTTCAATAAACCTATAAATAATAAAAATAATAAGAATAATGAAAACATATTAATATGAAGATTTTCCAAGAATTTATTTCCGTGGCTCTCAAGAACTAAAATTTAACATTTAATATTTTATATTTTATTATTATTATTATTTTCTATTATTATTTTCTATTATTAAAATTATATCGTAATCGTGTAATATAAATACAAAATTTTACTGATAATCATCTACCACTTATATAATATTTTCTAATTTTCGTTACTAGATAATATTTTAAACAAAAAGATAGCAAATTACACCAATTTAGTAATTAAATTTGCAAGTAAAAAATATATAATATATTTTTAATAAATAATAATAATATTATTATTGCTATCATTAGTACTATTGCTGTTAATGACCTTCATTAGCCAATAAAGTAGCGACTTCAACATAAAGTTCTACAGGATCAAACTGATTTAATGAATTAAGCTTTAATCTCCAACTATCAGTCAAATCCCAATGATCACATTCGACTGTACGTACGTATCTCCCCCATTGAGCAGATTTTAAACTGACCAGGCCATCATTCTGTCCTTCTTTTTCTCTAATTATTTGATAAGGAAAATATAATGGTGACCATATTGGAATTTCAGTTGCAGCACCATATGAATAATAAAATATAGAAGGATGGTTTGGAGTGTTTTTATTAAAAGAATTCATACAAAAATCTGTTGTTAAATTACTATAAGCCGGAGTGTCCAATGTATGTATTAATGGACGTAATAAAGATGAAAATTTTTGTGATAAGGTTGAAAATAAAGGAATATCCAATGATTTATAGTCAAAGTGAGGTAATGATGGTAAAATAAAGTTTAGTAATGAGCTAACATTATTATCATTACTATTACTATTACTATTATTACTATTATTCTTTTTATTCTTTAACGAATTAGATATCTCATGGTCTTTTGAGTCATTATCATTGTTATTAATTTTATTAGAATCAAGTCGATTTTTATCAGTGTTTAATTGATTTAATTGTTCAACTTCACGACATCTTTCCTCTAATTCTTTGAGTAAATCATCAACTGCCTTTTCAGCTGACTCAAATGATTTAGAAAGCTTGCCTAAACCTATGTTATCTCTACACCAATCCATAAAAGGACTACCACGATGTGGTGTCCCTATTGTGGTTAGAGAGCGTATACTACAATTATCTGTTGGTAAATGTGTAATTAAATATCGACAATCAAGACCGCCCTGTATAATAATAATCAAATAAATAATAATCTTTAATGTATATATTTATATATCTAGATATGTATGTATATGTGCATGTAAGTATGTGAACATAAATATTAAATTAACTAGTTAATTAATTAATACCAACCATTGAATGTGCTAATAAGTTCAATTCGAATCCATGTAAAGTAGATTCCAAGATACGATGTAAAGCTAGTGCACGAGCACGAATACAACCAGTTCTTTATTTGAAACCAAAAATAGAATTCTTATAAAAATACAATAAAAGTAAATCGCTAATTGGAGTAGAATAGGATATTTTGATTAAATATACCTTGGAACTTTAGTAGTGACAACTTTAGCACCAAGCTTTTTAAGAGCTTCTTGGACACCTCCCCAATAATGTATTTGTAAATATGGAATTGCATCGGGACCTTTTTTTTAATTAAATGATAACATTATTTGTTATGGTAATCATTTTTATGTAAAAACAAATATATATATATATATATATAACTAACCAAGTTTATCGAATCCAAATAGTCCTAATAAAAAAATAAAAAACATGATTTAAAACTTGATAAAAAGAATAATACTAATAATAATAAAATTAACATAATTCAACTTACCGTGACATAATACAATTGGTAGTTTAGGTGCACTATAGTTGGGTCTTACTGGCATTTGTAACTTGTTGATTTTTTGCGTAAAGTTGTTTTTATTACTAACATCTTCGCTATGAAATTTATTCTTGCTCTTAGTAATTTGAAAATCGAGTAAATGTTTTCTAACTTTAAGAAAAGTGTTAATAGTATTAACATATATAGCTGTCAAAGATCTTTGGAGTTGCATTACTTATAAAGCAACACCAACACCAATAATACACGCATTTAGTATTTGAATGTTCTTATTATTTTATTATTTCTACAAATAAAGTGGAATGATATTATACATTATATTAACAATCTGTGGGGTAGAAATAAATATTGACACAAAAATGGCTAATGCTTTTTTTTTCTTTAAAAAGTAAATTTCTAGAAATCAATTTTTAAAATAAATTGTTTCCAATCCCAATAATAATAATAATCAAAATAATATGACACAAATCTCTTTAACACCGATGGATTCGTCTCCTCCATCACCCACAATAGAAGGTCGAATAACTATTGAAAGTGTTCGACATTGGAAATTGGACCAAGTATCAAATTGGTTACAAGAAAATAATTTTCGTGAATATCAAAGATTATTTACAGGTGTATATTAAAGTTTGATTTTTTTTTTAATTATTATAATTATAAAATTTCTGCTTGCTTACAATATGCACACATGCAGAAAATGATATCACAGGTGATGTACTATTGGAAATAGATCATGAAGTTCTTAAAGAACTTAAAATAAGATCAATAGGTGACAGAATAAGACTTTTGGTGGCGGTTAAATCCTTATTAAAAACATGTCTAAACAACAACATTATTAATAATCATAACAATCATAATTCATATTCAATTAGATATCCATACTATAAGGTAATTTAAATATATCTATCTATATTTCAAAGTAAAAATATTTATTTACTTATTTTGGTTATTATTTTTCAGGAACAAAGTTCACCTGAAAATGATCGATTTCCTATACCATCACTTTCAAGATCAAATTCAAATCCTAGGCTTGTATCTCGTTCAAATTCTGCTAATCGTGGTCATTTTGATTTTACAAGAACACAACAGCAACAACAGCAACAACAACAGCAACAACAACAATTCCAACAACAATTCCAGCAGCAACTTCAACAACAACTTCAGAAGCAGCAGCAGCAGCAGCAACAACAACAACAACAACAACAACATCAACAACAACAGCAGGCTGTCAAGGTTAGTTTAATAGTTAAATAATCGATGATGAAAATAATCATGAATAATTTATACTCTTTTAATGAATAATATATATACATATAAAGGCCATTAACGCAGAAGCCACAAAAATGTCACTCGAGAGTGTTAAACAGGTTTCTTTCATTATATTTCAATTTACATTTTATATTATTTTTTTTTTCTAAAAAAAAACTTTATTATATTATTAGCGTTGTATAAAAGTTATTGGAGAAGATCATCAAACCAAAACAATTCCAATTCATGATGTTAATGATGCCAAATCCATTTTGGCAAGGATATTACAAAAATTCAATATTAATGATGAAGTTGAAAGATATTGTTTATTTACAACTTTAAGTGATACTGGTGCCGGTTAGTCAAACACACGCGATGTTATTGTAGTTGTAGTTGTAGAGATATTACAATTTATATATATATATAAATTATTAATTTTTACCATCATTGCAATACATTTATATTTAGCAAGAAGTTTAACTGATGAAGAATTGGAGATGATTTGTAAAAGTGCAGACAGACCAGAACGTGAGAAACTCATATTGAGAAAAAAGCATCAACCAATAAGTAGAGAACAATTTAAACAACAATTGCGCGATAAAAAACTGACAAATTTCTTCGGCGAAAAACCACCAAGTACACAAATTGGAACAGTACAGAAATTAAGAAATTTTTTTGGTCAAAGGCCACCTTCAGAATTGATTTCTTTAAATTTGACCGAATATTTTCCTGGTCATGACAGTGAAGAATTAAAGCGTAGTGCTAGAAATTCTATAAGACGAGCTTCAAGAATTTCAGCTGCTTCAAGAGTCTCGAGAAAATCCAAAGCAATTTCAAGATCATTTGACGATAGATCAAATACTTTGACAATACCCAACTCTATATTTTCAGATGATTCAATTATTATTGAAGAAGCATTAGATGATTTTGCAGGTTTCGATGATTTTGATGAGTACGAATATGAAGATGAAGAGGCTGAAGATTGGACGCCTGATCAAGATGATGAAGGTAAAGAGGAAAAAAATCAAAAGGATTAATTTTTATCAATTTTTATATTGTAATAATAATAATAACAATATGATAAATAACAATAGATAATTCAGCACCAAAATGGATTAAAGGATCTTTAATTGGTATGGGATCTTTTGGTAGTGTATATCTTGGACTTAACGCTGTTACAGGAGAATTAATGGCTGTTAAACAAGTTGAATTACCAACTGGTCAATCTGCAAATGAAGAAAGAAAGCAAGCTATGGTTTGTTTAAAAAATACATATATAAATAATATATATATATATCTCTAAGTATAAAAATTATTAATACATATATATATATATATATTAATTAATAGTTAGATGCATTGCAAAGAGAAATCGCACTCCTAAAAGATTTACATCATGAGAATATAGTTCAATATCTCGGTAAAAAATAACACAAACATATATTATTTTAAACATTTTAATTAATTAATTAAATGTTAGTTATTGAGAAAAAAATTTTTTTTTATATATACGTATGTGTATTTACAGGATCACAACATGATAAAATGACTTTGAATATTTTCTTGGAATATGTACCAGGAGGATCAGTTACTACAATGATTAACAATTATGGTCCATTGAAAGAAAAATTAATTAAATCATTCGTTAAACAAATTTTACAGGGTTTAAATTATCTTCATGAAAAAGACATAATTCATAGAGATATAAAAGGTGCTAATGTTTTAGGTAAATATAATATCTCCACATCTAAAAGAATTTTATTAACAAGTTTTTTTTTTTTAAAAAAATTTATTTGTTTATTTATTATAATAATACTAATAATCATAATCATAATAAAAGTTGATAGTAGAGGAAAGATAAAAATATCGGATTTTGGTATTTCTAAAAAAGTTGAAGATCGTAAGTTTTTCTTTTAAAAAAATATGATTTATAAAAATATATTAATTAATTAATAACCATACTATAATTCGATTATATATATATAGAATTTATGGAAGCAACATCAGCTCATAGACCATCATTGCAAGGTTCAGTATTTTGGATGGCGCCAGAAGTAGTAAAACAAACAGCTTATACAAGTAAAGTTGATATATGGAGTTTAGGATGCTTGATTGTAGAAATGTTTACCGGGGATCATCCATTTCCTGAATTTAATCAAATGCAAGCAATGTTTAAGATTGGTTCAGAATCATGTGCTCCTGAAATTCCTCCTGATTTGTCTAATGATGCGGTAGATTTTTTGAAAAAGACTTTTGAATTGTAAGTATTAAAAAAAATAAATTCTTTTTTTTGATTTCAAATTTTAATAATTAAAATTTTTTGTTTGTTCTTTTTAGAAATCATGATGAAAGACCAACGGCAGCATTTCTTTTAAATCATCCATTTGTGATGACATAATTTATTGTATTTAATCTAATTTATGTGTGTAATTAAGTTTTTTATTTTTATTCTTTGTTAAGATATTAATGACAGTTAAAAAAAAAGCACTAAAAAAATTATTATTATATTAATATTTTTCTATAAAAAATATTATTAAATAGATCAAAGTAAATAAATAACAAGATTCACTGTAACTAGTGAGTGAGCTTTGATTCACGAAAATGAGTTATTATTTAAAATTTGTTAATTCAGTTTTGTTTCTAACAGAGTTATTTACTTTCCTGGTGGTTTGATGGATCTTCTACCTTACCATCTAAAAATAATTGATTATATACATATAAAGATTTTTTATAAAGGTATGAACATACATTTATCTTCAAATCCAATACAGCAACCATAAGTTTACCAAAGTCTAGTAATTCAAGAATTTGTTTAGCCAAATCATTGTTACTGATGAAATTGCTGAAAGCTGTTTGATCAGCAACGATAATAGAACCAAGAAAGTCGCCGTCAATAAGCTTGATTGAAGATTTAGGTAAGCTGAATAAAATGTAATCTGCAACTAAGCAAAAATTGGGAAAGGAAAGAAAATTGGAAGAGGAATAATTTACTGCCTCTTAACATACAACCTGTGATAATGACAGTCGCAAAACGTGGTTCACAAGATGATGTATCAAGATTAAAATTAGTATTCTGTAATTCTTCCAGCTATTATTTAATGTAATAGTTATTGAAAAATTCACTCGTCAAATATTAATAAACAGTTTTCCAAATGACAAAATATGCAAAAAAAAAAATTTTTGTCCCCTTATCATTATTATTAGAAATAATTCAGAAAATGAAAATAACAAGCATTCATTATCTATTTCATCGTTATATGGTCTTTCAGAAACATAGATAATGAGAGAAACCAATACCATTTATAAGTATCCCAGCTCATCAGTAATGATGGCGACGTTGCAATTGTCGACCTTCAAGGAATACCCACAATGCATCTGTCACATATATCTGACACATACGTCTGACACATACGTGAATATTATGAGCCCAAGAAGGGTAGCCCCACACGTTCCATGACCAACAAAATAGAAGATACAAATAAACTTAAGGTATGGCAATTCCTCTGTGAATGAAAAGAAACTTGTCTTAATATTAATATAATAATAATAGTATTGGTATTGTGTTATTAGTGAAAGATTTATAATTACTGAATTGGGTTTCAGAACAGGTAAATTCTCTCTATCTATCCAATCAGTCAGTCTCTGTGTTTATTAACTCCTTAAATATTAACATTGTGCTTGGTATACTTTATTAGAATTATTGGAGAGAGTTGAAATGGAAATGGACGCACGGAGTTGGCTCTTTTACTATCATGCAAACTCCTTCGTTTGGTATTGATTAAAATCAAAGCGTTAGATGAAATAAAAAAAGATGAAAGCGAGAAGTATGTTGAATTTTTTATAACAGAAATGAAGAAATCGAAGACTTTTACAATCAATACAACGATGCAATTTATTTAAATCTAGGGCACGAGAGGTCAAAGAAGAAAAATTGGAAAAGTCACCAGATGGAAAAGTTAAAAATAAACATAGAGCGCGTTAATAATTAACGCATAACCTTGGAAAGAAAGTTCCATGTTTATAAAGGAAAATCATTTGCAAACTTTTCTTTATCTCTAAATATGATTATTGGTATTAGTATTGGTATTATGACTGTGATATGCTTCTATATATATTAAAAATCATTGCTTTTGCATTTTTTTACAAAATTCTCATTTATTTTATTTGTGATTTATGATATACGTAAAGATTAAAATAGAAAATGCTAAAGCTAACAACGATATATATTATTTATAATTTAAGATGAAAGAGGAAATTAAAACCTAAACTGTTTTTTTTGAACAGTGTTGGCACAAGTTATTATTTTCAGCAATCAAAGATCCCAACTTCTTTTTTGTTTTTTACAAATATTGTTTTATATTTATTAAATTTATCTCGCGAATCTGCACTTGTTATTATTACTTGATCAATTTCCAAAATGCACATTTCTATGTGAATAAATTATTTAGTTCGTGATAAGCGATCCAGTTTATATGGCTTTTATCACTTAACCAATCTACATTTGAATGATGGGCGTTGTTTCGATTATTATAACAGTTGTATCTTCTATTTTTTCCGTCAATTGAGAAATGTTTCAACGTTTTTTTGTTCTTTCAAACAATTTTTTATAATTATCAAGCTTATTTTGTGATTCAGTTATTCCTGTTACTTTATCAATTTCCAATATGCCGATTTTCATATCCAAATTGTCGCGCAAATTTTGTAACTTGTGGTGAGATATCCAATTTCTATGATCTTTATTATTTAACCAATCTACATTTGAATGATGAGCATTATCACAGTCATCTTTGCAAACAACATCGCTATTGACAGATGCCATTCTTGATATATAAATGTTTAATATTTTGTGTTCGGTCTTTTTTGCAACTTAAAACTGAAATTATGGTATTATGATAAATGCTATTTGGAATTCCAAATTGTCTTGTATTGATTTTTTTTTAAAGTATTCGCGTATAATCAATATACGTACAATACATCTTCCTATTATATATTGTACAATCGCGACATTTAACATTTATTTGGACAAAAATTAATTTATTGAATAACAAATAATAGGTTCTTATAATTAATATATATTAATATATAAAAAGGATGAATTTACATTTTAAAATAAAAAATAAATAAATAATCCCTCTTGAAAATAAATATCTATCAAAGAAAAAAAAATATATTTTCCCAAAATTATGCATGCCATGTTGGAACTTACTATTTCTGTATTATATAGTAACCATAGCTAAGGAATTATTGAAGAAAGTCAGAAATTAACTGGAGAAAATCAGAATTAATTAAAGAAAATCGGAAATTAACTAAAAAAAATCGGAAATTGACAATACTAATGAATATCATAATCAGGAATTTAATAATAATAATATTATTATTATTATTAGCTGAAAAAATCGGAATTTATTTAAAAGATCAGAAGTCGTTTGAAGTAATAGTAATCAGAAATTATGAATATGAAACTGAAAAGCAATGTATATACCCATTATAGGAATTTATCGTGCAATGACAAATTTTATATTAATATTATTTTTTTAATATTAATAAAGAAATTCATATAATAATATGAATTCAATATATAAAACTTTTCAAATGTGTTTCATCTTTTCAATATATTAATATTAATATTAATATAGTATATAATCATCGCGTAAAACTGTTACAAAAAAATTATATTTTGAATTTTATTAAAAGTTCATGTATTGTTTTTATATATTTTGAATTGTATTAAAATTTATGTATTGTTTAAACACTTCCTGGTCATAAATATAAGGACACTTGCAGATCATCGGAAATAATTGAATAAAGAAACATGAAAAAAAATAA